TAAAACAAACCTATTATTTGTTATGGGGCAATTTTTGTTGGAAAAAAGGAAGTAAATGCTGGTTTTCAATTAAAACCTCATAAATTGTAGTCATCTGGCAGCTGTAAATGTGGGCCGGCTGCTGAGCTCTGAAAATGGGGTCATGTGATTGGGGGGAATCCCCCCCAGTGTTTAAAACCATAGTCCCATTTTGGGGGATACATTGTAACCTAAGTTGAGGACCATTTGAACTAGCATCGGAAGATCAGTCCAATGGTTTGTAGCTCATATGTGCTTTAAGGCATCGATCTATTCAGAGTGGCAAACTTTGAAATCGCCTTGATACAACATCTGCTGTTTCTGGGGTTTAAAAACAACTTTATCATAGCTGGGTGAAAAACCACTTGCCCAGAATCAAGAAAATGATGCTAAATTCTAAATGAAGCTTTAAAAACAAGATGTGTCGTCAGTCTTTCTTGGCTTTGCAGATTTTGCCTCGTCTCATACAGAAAATCATAGTAATTCATATACAAACATATTAATAAAGCAAGTCCAGCTTTCATAGTCAAATCCTATAATACGCAAGAACAGATTAAAGAGCTAATTCTGCTGTAAATCAGCCACTTACCCCAACGGGATCCTTCAAACTATTGTTAGATGCTTTTTTAAAGGCATGTTTCCTAGGAGTTTTAGTTCTTCTGGAAGTTAATAAATGTCAGATAAGTTACAAAGAAAATCAAAGGTACACAAGGCAAAATGCTCTATTGCAGCAATGTAGAGGAAGATCAAAGTAGCCAGAGAGGCTTTTAAAAGCAGCTAATACAAGTGGAATTACATTATTAATACTAATAAAGGGTGAAGAATGGGTGGACATGTCATAGAAGATGCCTTCTAGGGTCCACAGCTGCATGCCAGCTCCCCTTCTTGAGAGTGCTAACTGCCACCACTCCACCTTTATCAGACCCTTCATCTCAAGAAAAAAAAAAGATGCCCAATTCTTCCACATTTCTGGATTAACAATTTTGAACAGACAACCCAAATCCACAGAGTAAATCCTTAGACAGTAAAAGAAGAGAAATGAAAGCTGGAAAGATTGGTGTATTATCCACCAAAATTGTGGTAGGAGATTTAAAACCCACCAACAAAGGCCAAGCCTCCTTAATTGTGAAAATCCTATCAGTGAGTAGCTGCTGTGCCCTTTCTCCTCACTGCGCCGTGAAAGCAGGGCCCTCAACAAAACTTTTAAAATGTCTAACTAAAATTCCCACATTAAGAGCCATGGTAGCACAATGGTATGAATGCAGTATTGCAGGCTGCTTCTGCTGGCTGCCAGCAGTTCTAGTCTCACCAGCTCAAGGTTGACTCAACCTTCCATCCTTTGGTAAAGGTCAGTAAAATCAGACCCAGATGGTTGGGGGCAATACGCTGACGCTGTAAACCACTTTGAGAAGGCTGTCAAAGGGTGTATAAGTCTAACTGCCATTGCTCTATGAATATCAAAACGACAGGTGAAACGGTTGAAATTCACCAGCGGCTCATTTTTTTTAATTTACTTTCCCCATGGAAAAAGCCTAGTATAGTTGTGTGGTTTGTTTATTGGCATCCAGTCTTGCCCCCATTTTCTTTATCCCTTTATCCATTAGGTGTGGTCTATATGTTATTTATAAGCACTGCAACTTCCATATAATCCATGCCCATCTCACAAACCAAATATTATAACAGCCAAAACACAAGATTGGTTTACGATGTCTGTGATCATATTTTAACACTGCAAATTTGTCCCCTTTCTCTGAAAGGGCTGAAGCTCCCAGTCCTCTACCTGTACAGTAGCGGACTATTGTGCCAGATCCCATGACTTTCACTTCCAAGAACACATGAAGCAGCAAATACACCAGTGAAGAATCGTGGGGGTGGGGGGGATTTCATTTCTACACCTGGAAAGCCTCGCTTGGGGAAGGCAGCCATGCCCGACTTCCTACCACAGGCTGCCCCGCCGAGGACTTCAACAGCTTTGCTGGCTGAGGGGGGATTCTGGGAGTTGAAGGCCTCAAGTCTTCAAGCGGCCCCTTAAGGTGGGAGAGCCCGGGCCTTGCTCCCCGAAGGGAGGGGCGGGGAAAGCAGCCTGCGAGGAAGCCGTCCCACAGCCCCGGAGGAGCGGCCTGTCCCTTTCCTGGCAGCAGCCGGCTTTCTGGGCCCAGGAGGGAAGGGAGGGAAGGGGAGACGCAGGCGGGCCGGGAGCGTCCCTTCCCAGGGGAAGAGGCCCTCCAGCCACCTCAACTCCTCCGCGGCGGCCGCTGCTACGGCTGCTCCCCCCGGAACCCCAGGCCGAGGCCGGGGCAGGCCCGGGCCCAGAAGCGCCGCCGGGGAAGAGGCCTCGGGCTAAGCGCCGCATCGCCCACCGCGGCCCTCCGAAGGGAGCGGGGTGACCGGGGGGGGGGGGGGACTTACGCCGCCGCCTTCATCGCGCCGCCCGACCAGAGAGGTTCAAACCTTCCCTCCACTTCCCCGCATCCGTTGCACCGCCCCGTTTTTAAATAGAGCCAATCGGGGAGAGGGGGCGGGGCAGGAAGAGGCGCCCCCTCTTTCGGGCTTGTGACGTCATAAAGGCGGGCGGGCGGGCGCCAGGGTCTCAAGGTCCGGGGCTTCCGCCAGGGCTTCTCCTGGGCGGAGTTCCCCGTAGGCGGTTTGGGGGGGGGGGGCAGCTCCAGTGCCGCTGCTGCTTCCCCTCCCTTCCCCACTTCGGGAGCCGGAGGAGCCTGAAAGGGTTACCACGAAGGGAAAGCCAGCGGCCACGGTGGGAGTTGGGAGCTCAGCCTGGTCGACCAAAATTCAAAGGCTCCCCGCGCGCATCATTGACGTATTTATTTACTTACTAAGAAACTCTATGTGGCCACCCAACCCTCTCCCGGTGTCCCCCAGCAGCCTGCAGAAACACCGACATCTGCAGAAATGTCAATGCTGGTTTTTTTTGATAAACATCAAAAGTGAATAACAATTGATTTTGAAAGTCCCAAATGGACAACAGGACACGAAAAATTTGAAATAAGATTTTAGAATTAATTATAAACAATCTTTCCCTTGAGAAAATGCTTTCGTTTTGAATTATTTGAAAGAAAGAAAACTCTAAAAATTTGACACCGAAAGGAATTAGAGATTGCAATTAAAGGAGAACACTCCAACTAGACTTACTAATATAGAATGAAGCAAAATATTTTAATATTGGATGTACTGAAGGATATTTTTGAAAGAATGGAGCCAGAAATTAATACTTGCCTCTGTAGATAGACTGTGCTTCAAATATCCATGTAAGAGGAGCAAACATTTCTTGGCACGATTGAGGCTTGATCTGAGAGTGGCTTTAAAAACGAAAAGTTACAAGAACGACAAGGAAAAAGATGCTTCACTGGACATACAAAAAAAAAACAGGCTCATGCTTAATAATTCAAAGGGATGACAAACCAAGACTGGGTAATCTTCCTATATTAGATTTAGAGAACAGGATTGTTAATGGCTTGAAGAATTTTGTGAGAAGGGACAAAGAAAAATGAAATGTTGTAAGTATAGGTCAAGGGGAATGTTACATCCAGTTTTGGTCACCTCAATATAAAAAAGGTGTTGCGACCCAGCATTGTCTGGGGTGGTCTTGGGTCCCTACTTGCACAGGATTTGGACTAGAAGACCACCGAGGTCCGTTCCAGCCCTATGATTCTGTGATTCTCTAAGATGGCTATTCCCTTGCCTCCCAGAGCTCCAAACCCATCAGAGACCGTGGGGTCCCCTCACAGCGATCCCGTCTTTTCTGGGCTTTGGGACATGCAGAGCAGGGCTCCCCCACCGGATGCCAGAAGGCTCCCTTCCCCAGGCTGAAGCAGAGCCGGTTCCAGCTGGGCTGCTGAGAATTGGGAGGCCTCGCAGCCACTCCCCTTACTTCAGACTTGCCCTCTGATTCCAAGTGTGACAGCCAAGCAGTTGGTCCATCTCGGATGAATGGAATCCATTTTTAAAAAAAGTTCGCTTGAGATCAGTCAATCTCGGATACTGTTTCTGAGGTGGCCGCCAGCTCCTGTTTAGCCTACTCCTTTCCCTTCTGTCTTTCAGCAACTCAAAAAGTCCCGACAGACGGAGGAGGAGATGCTCTATGGCAGCACCCCCACCAAGAGACAGGCTTTGGGCATCACCACACCTGGCAAAGCACGAAAGGTAAGTGGGGTCGCTCAGAAGTCAAGGTTTGCCTTTTTACCTCACGTATATAAATGCAGGACAGCTTGGGCAGGAGAGCCCAGTTCTGCTTCCACTCCTGCCCAAAGCCCCTCTGAACAGAGTCCTTTGCATGTTGTCCGAATAGCTACCCCCCCCGCTCCCTCTGACCGACTCTGCATCCTTCATGCCAATCGTTTTCCCTCCCCAGCGCGCACTTTCAGAGGCTTCCAAATCTGAGCACCCATCCCACGTCCTCAACTCCACGATGTCCAATCCCGACGGCTGAAGGGGGGCCATTACCAGCCCTGGATCCTCTCACCATCCAGGGTCCGGCCGGCATGAACTGGACCTTTTGGGGCCTGGTTTATGCTGCCACTTTTAACATTTTTTAATGAATTGATTTCCAAGTTTTATGTTACAGGGAATAAAGGTCTAGATGCAGCAGCTGTTGTGGGCTCAGGCCTGCTGCCTTGTTCACGGGGGAGCGGGGGCAGGGAGAGGTTGGCCTCCTTTCCTTGGGCAACCTTGTCCACCCAGGCCCAGCAGATGGTCTCCGGCTCACCTCGGGCCCAGGAAGGGGAGACACTACAGGGAGTCCTCTACAAGGATGCACCCCCTCCCTCTTCACCTCCTGGCCCGTCTGCTGGCTGGGCTGAGAGGCTGGCATCCCTGGCACTTCGACTGTACTTTTAACGATCATGGCTAGATTTGCACCTTCTTCACTACAGCAGCCTCTTATTTATTTGTGTGGCTGTTCGCTTGTTCAAAGATGTAGGTGAGCAGCAAAAAATCAGTTGTACTGTTTTGAAAGGGCTTTTTAAAAATGTCTGACTTTGCTCTACATAAAAGATATTTTTATTCTGCATTTAATGTTGTGCTTCTGATATGTAAACGTGGCTGGACTGCTTGAAGAAACACCCGTGAGGCTCACGAGGAAACCCGGGGTGTCATTGCCCCCCCCCCCCCAAATTCTCCTTCATGGGACATCCTGGGACGGCTGAATCCAGATGGAGCTCCGAGAAGCTGCTCGGCCTCCAGAGAAATGCCTGGCAGATGTGGCTTCTTCACGGCCCACTCTCGGCAGCTTCGACAAACGTGGTCCACGGCCCACAGACCACGTCCTGCACCCTGAGATTCCTCTCCACAAAGTAGGAAACTCTCCTTGGCCGGTCAGATGTGGCCACATCCTGGTGCCCCAACTGGCCATATTTCCCTGGGAACAAAAGCAACAGTTGGCCCCACAAAACCTCTGGCCAAGCCCCCCACCCCCCTCCAGCCCCTGACCTACCCCAGCCCCAGGTGTAGACATGGCCGGCGCCTGGAAAGGAAGCGAGCAGGGTGAGGCCTTCCCTTCTGCCCCAACGGCTGCGAGGGGGGCCGCTGTCGGGAGCCGCCCCCGCGCCCCCCTTCCCTGGTTCGCGAGGGGGCCCTTTGCCTCCGCTCACCCGTCACGGCGGCCGTGTGCCGGGACCCGCAGCTGACTCGCCGCACCTCGGCCTCCTCGGGCAAGTCCAGCAGGGCGGGGAAGGGCTGTACCGAGACGAAGGGCGCTTCGTCGCCTCCGGGCCCGTCCGCAGCGCCCCCGTCCAGCCCGGCGCCGCAAAGGGGGCGATTCCCCGGGGCCGCACCGGCCTCTTCGGCGGCTGCAGCCTCGCTGGCCTTTTTGGAGGGCAGCCCGAGCTGTCCGGCCTCGTTCCAGCCCCACAAGTACAGGTCGCCCGCATCTGCGAGGGGGGGAAGGGGTGAGTCGCCGCCGGGGAGCTCTTCCCTCGCCCGCCCGCCCAGGGAAGGGCCGCTCACCGCTGACGGCCGCCGAGTGCCAGCCGCCCGCCGCCGCCGCCGCCACCGCCAAGCCCTGCAGCGCCTCCACCGCCCGCGGCTCCCGCCGGCTCTCCAGGTCGCCGTGCCCGAGCTGCCCGTGCCTGCGCAGAGACGGAAGGGCGCTCGGTCCCGCTCCGGCCCGGCCCGGCTTCCCCGCCCACCCGTCGGCCGGCCTCACCTGCCGCCGCCCCACGAGAAGAGCGTCCCGCCGGCCGCCAGCAGCAGCGCGTGCTCCAGGCCCAGCAGCAACCGGCGAGCCGGGAGGGCGGCGGGCAGCGCTGTGAAGAAGGGCGGCCGGGGGGCCACGTAGCCGCCGGGCACCAGCGGCAGCTCTGCGGGGGAAGCGGCGGGTCAGCGGGAGGCGGCGAGGTCGCGGCCGGCTCCCCCGTCCCTCCCTCCCTCCCGCCGCGCACCTATGGCCGCCGCCTCCGCCGCCCGCAGCTCCCTCCGCCAGGCCGGCCGCCCGTCCAGGAGGGCGCCCGACCCCGGGGCGACGGGCCAGGCTTCCAGCGCGGCCTCCCGCAGCAGCAGCACGTGCGTCTCGGAGGGCAGCGCGTCCAGGCAGTCGGGGGGCAGCGCCGCACCCACGGCGCCCTGCAGCCGCACCCGCCCCGGCCCGCCGGCCGCCACCAGCGCCGCGAAGCTCCAGCTCGGCCTCACGCGCCGCACCGGCCCGCCGCCCTCCGCCGGCAGCGGCTCCGGCCCGCCCTCCGCGCCGCCGGCCCAGCGGAACCCGAAGCAGAACCAGCCGCTCTCCCCGCCCGGCCCGGGCGCCATTCCTGCGGCAGGCATCGGCTGGCGGGCGCTTCTCTGCGGGGAGCCGCCCGGGGACGGCAGCCTCGGTCCTGAGCCGATCCCCCCGCGGAGCGGAGCCCAGCGGGCGGGGGACGGTCGCGGCCGCCGCTGCGCGGAGAAAGCCGGGCAGGCCCGGAAGCCGCGGGGTGGGGCCTGTGCGCTCGACCGAGGGGCCGGCCGCCGCCTGGGCTGCTCCGGGGTGAAGCTCCCACAAGCCCCGGAGGCAGCTTCTCTTCCGGGGGCCAGGAAATTCCTCATTTCCCGGTTGACTCTCCTCTCCTGGCTCCGTTTCCCCCCACTTGTTCCCTGTCTGGCCTTCGAAGTAGCCCCCCCCTCCTCTCTGGGGCAGCCCCTCCCTCCAATGTCTCCCCTGGTCCTTCCCCTCCCGAGACCAGCCAGGCCCCTCATCCTCCTGGTTGCTCTTCTCTGCGCTTTTTCTAGAGTCTCAACATCTCAAGATCCCTCTCGCAGTTACTGATATTGAGTTTGGTTTCTCTGTCTGTGTGTCTGTTTTGGTTTTTCTTGCCTAAGTGTAAGACCCAGTGTCTGTCAAGATCCATCTGGATCTTGAGCCTGTCATTTAGGGTGTTGGCTACTCCTGCCAGCTTAGTACCATCTGCAAATTTGGTAAGTTCCCCTTCTATTCCCTCCTCTAAGTGGTTAATGAAGATCTGGAAGAGTCCTGGGCCTAAGACGGAACCCTGTGGCACCCCACTGCTTACTTCCCTCCAGGTAGACATGTAAGACACTCAGGGCAGCGGGAAAAGAGGGTTGGCCCTGCCAAACCTTGCATGCCCATCCCGGGAGTCCGGCTTGGAGAAAGCTGGAGTGCCCTTGCCAAAGACACTCGCCCGTCAGCCAGTCTCTCCCCCCCCCCCCATCTCTTGGACGCTCTGTCTCTGCATTTCCTCTCTCTCTTAGAAAGCCGTGTCTGGGCCAAGCAAGCTCTCCTTGGGGCTCTTCCCTCCTCCTTTTCTTCTTTTTGGAAATCCAGGCTGGCTGAGGAATGAGCACCAGCTGTGGTGAAGGCTTCCCTCCTCCTCCTCCTCTGCCTTTTCTCCTCTCGCGACCCCTTGGCAGGCTGTGGCAGGGCCGGGAGGGTGCACACACATGCGGGGACACCCTCGAGCGAGTGGCCAATCTGATGATGAAAGCCATGTCACTGCAGAAGGCAAGGAGTGCATCAGCGATAGCTACCAAGAGGTAACCTTGGAAGGAAGGAAAACATCCAGTCCTTCTCCTGACCACTCACCTTCCCTGGTTGTCAATCTTCACTTTTTTTAAGAAGCGGGAATAAGCTTTCATTTGGACAAGGAGTCGCTTCTTTATTCCTTCAGCTTTCCTGAGTGGTCAAAGGTTAGCAATCCTTGCTCTGTTTTAGCTGTGCAGGAACAAGGAGTCTATGACCTCAAGAGTTTTCCAATATTTTTAAACCATTGCATTTTAAAGCCAAGACCATTATAAACCATTACTGAACAGCTATAAAGGGTTTATACCATATTTCCCCCAAAATAAGATTAGGTCTTATATTACTTTTTGCTCCAAAAGACATATTAGGGTTTATTTTCCGATTGGGTCTTATTTTGGGGAAAATGCGGTATCAGTTTCACTAGTCATGCAGGAGAGGCTTAATAGATTGAGTCTTCAGGCCAACGCCTGAAAGGGGGAAGAGACATCATGAGGAAGCTCCGCTCGTATGCGTCTGAATGAGGCTTCTTTGAAAGCGGAGCTCCATCCTCTCTTGTGACAGTGCCTTCTCAAGGGGAGGGGCAAGGGGAGGCGGGGGCAGAGGACTGGGCTTCCCCCCAACCTCCATGGAGCCCTTGGGCAAGTTCTACTCTGTAGACTCCAATAAGGAAATGGGGAGGAGTGGCAGAAGGGAATTTGGGGTCCTTGGTGCTCTCTGGAGCTCGGTTGTTTTCTTGCAGATGTTTCATGACCCAAACCGGGAAACATCAACAATGTTAGTAAAGAGTTGGGTTTGTTCTAGTGGCCTTGTCAGTATTGGTGGAGGTGGTCTCAGAGGTTCTTTGGTTGGGCCGTTTAATGTTGGCTTGTTTGGCACCTCCTTGGTTGGGGTACTGTTTCCTTGATTGGGGAAGAAAGTTCCTAACAGTGAGAACCATCAACCAATGGAACAGAAGTTGCCTTCAGAAGTTGTGGGGGCTCCATCTCTGGAGGCTTTTAAAAAGAGATTGAACTGTCACTTGTCTGAAATGGGATAGGGCCAGAGTCCCCAACTCGGCAACTTTAAGACTTGTGGACTTCAACTCCCAGAATTCCTCAGCCAGCCATGCCAGCCTTTTCTCTCTCTTAATCTCCTAAAGTGGAGAGAGATTGCAGAGGAAGGGATTACAAGAGAGTAAACTCTGCTGGCTGAGGAATGCTGGGAGTTGAAGTCGACAAGCCTTAAAATTGCCAAGTTTGGAGACCTTTGGTCTACGGTCTCCTGCTCAAGCAGGGGGTTGGACTAGAAGACCTCCAAGGTCCCCTGCAACTCCATTATTCTGTAAACTTCTGTATCTCTGATCAAGCACAGCCTCCCAACAGAGTTTTAGATACAAGCCATTCCTTTCTAAACTGGCATAGAGGAACAGTCCTGAAGAGCTGCCTTCCCCAGGCTGTCAGGTCTTGCTCCAGGTGCAGCCATTCCTCCGGGGGCGGAAGCCTTGGCCGAAGCTGTCACTAAAGGAGACACTTCCAGAGACTTGTGGCTCACAGAGTTTATTTGGGCGGCTAAAGGGACGGGACCAGCCCGGCCGCTTGGAGGGCAACCCGCACGTTGGACAAACGCACAAGGGGTGGCGAGCGGCCAGCCAGGCGGGCTCCATCCCCCCTTCACGGTTCTGCCTTGGGAGGGCGGGAGGCAGGAAGCCGCAGGCCCTCCCGGCCCAGGGGCAGCGTCACCAGGCGGCCGGCCCTTCGGGACCCTCCCCGGGGGCTTCTTTCGAGCGGCTGCGCGGCGCCCTCGCTTTGCCCGCTTTCCCGGCTGAGCCCCGGGCTCCCTCGGGCCGCCTGCCCACCGCCACGGACGGGTCCCCGGCGAAAAGCCCCGAGAGGCGGGCCCGGGAGACGGCCGCCCCTTCCTGCCAGAGTCCGGCGGGAAGCTCCAGGGCCGGCGGGGCGGCTTCGCAGGCGGGCGCGGGGCTGGGGCGGGCGCCGGCGCGGGCGTCTTGCTTCAGGCCCCGCTCGGGCGACGGGCGGAAGCGGCTCTTCAGCACCCGGCGGATGACCTCGGGCGTCACGCCGAAGCCTTGCGCCAGGCGGCCGGCCGGCCACTCCTCGGGGAAGGCGCTGCGGAGGTACCTGCGGAGGGAGGCCGGGGTCAGGCGGGCGGGAGGGCGGGCGGGCGGCCCGAGCTGGGTCCCCTTCAGCGGCTCCCCTTACCGGATCTGCTCCATCGCGCGGAGGCTCAGGGCGCGGGGCTCGGGGGCCTCCGGGGGCCCCATCAGCTTCCGCAGCCGCCGCTCGCGAGTCTGCCGGGCCCGGCACTGCAGCCTCCTGCGGGCGAGAGGCGGGTCAGGCGGGGGCGCCGGGGGGCGCGGGGGGGGGGCGCGGGGTGGGGGGGGGGCCCACGCGCTCCCCCCCCCCCCGCTGCTCGTCCAGCGCCGGGACTCCCCCGTCAGCGCGCCCCGCCGCCAGCCCGGCCAGCAGCTTCCGCGGGTCCGGCACCCTCGGGGGCTTCATGGCCGGAACGCGGCCGGGGCTCGGCTCGGCCTCCCTGCGCCTCCCGGGATCGGCCCTTCGGGTTGGGGGGCCCTGCGCGGCCCGGAGACGAGGCGGGCCTGCCTCTCGCGCCTGCGCCTCGCTTGCTTCCGCCTCTGCCCCCTCGCGGGGCGGGGCAAAAGCTCCCCCCCCCCTCGATGAGCTTGCGCAGACGGGCCCGGTGTGGCTGGCATTGGAGGAGGCGCTGCCAGGCCTGCCAGGCCGTTTGGTGCCCTGGTTTGTGCTGCGCGCGCATTGGGCGTGTAAAGGGCCTAGGGAGGCTGCAGGCGCAGGCGCCTGAGGGCCGCCTCGGACGGAGCTGAGCGGGGAAGGCTACCAAGCCAGGCGTAGCAAGCGGGGGCACCCACGGAGCGGCTCCCCAGTTTGTGCCCGGCCAGGAGGGTGGACGTGCCCTTCCGCTGCGGCCTTCCGGGGAGGCCGCCGAGCCCCGAGCCGAGCCAGGCTGGGAAAACCTGCTCTTCGTGCGGGGAAGGCCCCAACAGCCTGGCTCCTTGCCCGAAAACCTCTCCTACGGTCTTGTGCATCCAAGGGCAGAACTGTGTGCCAACCGCAGCCGCTTCCCGTTAAGGGCGGTGGTGAGATTCAGCCAGTTGGCGCCACTTCGGGAGAACCGCTGGTTAACTTTGGCTGAGCAGTTCGGTGAACCGCTTGTTGGAAGAAATCATTAGGGCAGAGAACCGGTCGTTCAATCATTTGAATCCCACCCCTGGTTAAGGGCCTTTACAAAACTCCCACTTTGTACTGTAATCCAGGGCCTGCCGGACACTTAATCCTCATTCATTGACCTTCCTTTGCCTAAACTGAACAGCTCCAGGAGTGCAGGAGGAGATTTAGGGACTCTAAAACTTGCTCAACAAAAGCATTTTACGACCTCTCACCATGTTAAGTGAATCACAGAAGCTCTAAAGTCAGTAACACCGTCGTTAAGTTAATCTGGCTTGCCCGTTGACTTCGCTTGTCAGAAGGTCACAAAGGGGGATCGATCACATGATCCCCAGACGCTGCAAAGATGTAAATATGAGCCAGTTGCCAAGCACCTGAATTCCGATCATGTGACCATGGGAAGGCCGCAAAGGCCGCAAGTGTGAAAAATGACTGAGCCGCTTTTTTCAGGGCCGTTGTAATTTTGGCTCTTTTCAGTTGAGGACTGCCTGTACACTTGAGGACAAGTTCTGAATCAAATTTCTTCAAACTTTGTTCCTGTCCTGGCAACGCACTTTGGGTGCTACTTCTGCAGGAGCTGTCCTGCAAATCCAGTACTGAGGCACAAATTAGCGGCAGCCGTCCCCTAACGAACAGCATCAGATTCAGTAGCTACAAAGGATGGGAAGCTTTGAAAGGGTAGTTAAATCATGAAGTGCAAAGCCAACAGGTCTGAAAAACACGGGGCTGTGTGGGTGCAAAGGTACATGGAGCTATATTAAAACAAAAATTAAAAAACCTGCAGCCCTTATCAAGCACTGTGGGACTAAAGAGGCACCTGGCTTGATGCAGCGGCTTGTAAACAAAAGGACGGACAAACCCTCGTGGGTAGAACTGTATAAAACTTTAATACAAAGTTGGCTACAAAAGGAACCTCCTCCCAGCCCGCGGGGCTTCTCAGGAATTGTCCCAGGGCTTGGGCAGGCTGACGGGCACCTGCAGCGGGAACCTGGCTTGCAGAGAGAGCAGCGGAGGGGTGCAGCCCAAGGGCACAGAACCGTTCTCAGAACTTGCTGTGAGCTGGAGGGGAAACACGGCTCTGCAGAGGTGGAAGTTTTGGGGAGAGTGGCTGAAAGAGAGGCAGGTGTCCTTCCCTGTGGCTGCCCCCCAGCCCCAACTCTTTGGGCTTGAAGGATCCGCTGAGATTTCGGGTCAGGTCCCCTTCCTGAAGGAAGAAAAGGCCAGCTGGCTAGGAGTCGCAGGCTCGGCCCCAACTCAGGGTGAGGGGAGAAGTGAGGGGGCGGCTACCTGGCTTGGCTGGAATGCATGGCAGCCACTGTGGTGGCGCGATGGGGACTCCCGCGCCGGATGAGGGGGGCTGAGGCCGAGTTGATGGCCAGTCCATGCAGGTCAGCAGCCCGGCTGAGAGGAGCTGCAACAGACGGGAAGGGGAAGCTGCTGTATAGGGTGCCTGCGACGTGGCCAGGGTGGGGCAGGCAGTTCAGGGAGCCGGAGCTCATGTACAGAGGTCGCTTGCTCGAGGAAGCTCTGTCTGGAAAAGGAAACGGCGTCTGGAGGTCTTGGGCAGAAGCAGCGGCCAGGAAGCCCGCAACTCTCTTCTGCACCCCAAGATCCACAGCAGCTCCGAGTCCAGAGCCCCCTTCCTGGGGCCGAAACGGTTGCCGGAGGCGAGGTGGCTCTCGGGGGCAGGAGGGACTGCAGGAGGGCGCATAGCTTCTTTCCCCTCCGCCTGGGCTGCACCAGGGCTGGCTGATCCAGACCCAAAGGGCAAAGCCACCGCCGTTTCCTCCGCCCGGGGCAGAAGGGGGCCAGGAAGCTCCCCAGGCCATGTGGGTGCTACTTTCTAGACTGGCCCTCAGCTTCTCCGGAGCCCTGGGACGTTGCCAGGCCGGGAAAGCCCCCGCAGGGATGCCCAGCTCCCGGCCAGACACTCACTGCCTTCTGCTTTGTTCTTGGCACTGGCAAAGCGCCGCCCTCCTGCTTTCAGCATCCGCGCCAGCGTGCAGGGTTCGCCCACCATGGCTGTGCCCAGCCAGCTGAGGTTCCTGGGTGGCTGGAAGTGCAGTGGTGGCTCGCAAGGGGGGCCGAGGCCCGAGAGGGCTCCCAGGATAGTAGGGATGAAACCTTGGTTTCCCAGCAGCTGGACGCGTGCTGTGGGTTGCTGCTGCAGGATCTGGCGGCCGAGTTCCTGAGCCGAGCCCCTCAGGAGGGAGAGGGGGACAAGGGTCATCAGGTCCTGGGTGTTGTGGTTGTTGAACACATCCTGGAGAAAGTGGGGCTGGAAGACAAAAGCATCAAGTTGACGTTTTGGGAAAACAACCTTCCTGTGCCGTCTCCTGGTACCCAGCAGGCTCTGAAAGGTGCAGATTTTCTGCGACGACTCGCCCCGCCTGTAGGAGGCAGGCTGCTTAATGCCTCAGGTGGGAAATGAGAGCCGCTTTGGTGTCGTCCTGAAGGCATCAGGTGAGGAGTCAGCAGGGCGATTGCAGGTCAGCCCCTCTCTCTTAGCCTGGCCAAGGAGGCAATAACAAACCCCTTCGGAAAAACCTTGCCAGGACAGGAAAGTTGCGAGGAGTCAAACGTTGACTCGGAGGCACAAATCAGAAAATTATGAACGACCTATTTGGGCCCTTCCAAACTATGCAATAGGTTGCTATACACTCTGGAGGGGCAGAGACACGACCCAGGCCAGTCATTAGATCACATCAATTGAAGCCAGATCTCCAGGGGGTTCTGCTTCGGCCTTGGAGTGCTCTCCTCTTTCACACGCCAGCTTTAAGATGGTTGCAAACACCCCCTGGCACAGAAGAGAAGCAGGAACAGAATCGGGACCAGAAACGGAAGCCAGGAGAAGGAGGCAGCTTAGTCCCAAGCAAGAGAAATCCTACAGCCCCATCAAATACCTCACAGGATGTCATGCTGAGGACTGTTCTAGAATAATCGAACAAAGAACAATCCTTTTCGGTTAATGGGGGCCGACTCTGGCTGGAAGTTAGGAAAAACTAATGACCGTAAAAACAGGATGAAAGGAGAAGCGGTGGGCTCCTCCTGCTCATCGGGTGGGGAGGCTTTCTTCTGACTTTCTGGACTGAGCTGGGCTCGCCTCTCACAGGCTGCCTGGAGTTTCCACCCTGGGCCACGTTGGTGCCCAGCCCTTCATTGGGGTGACAGGCCCGTGCAGAGGGTCACCTGGCATTCAGAGACGTTGATATGGGGCCTCTGGACTTCCACAGGCTTTGGCTCGGCGCTGCGCAGCAGGCGGGTCAGCTGGTCAACAATGCCAAGCCCCCGGATGAGGCTTTCTCGCCGCAGGAGGGCCTTGACTCTTTCGACTTCCTCTTCCTCCACTATGGCTTGGGGAGTCATGCTGTCATACTGCAAGGAGGCCATCTGGGAAGCAGGACGGCAGCTTGTTAATTCAAAAATTCACATATGCCCACTTGAATTAACTTTTAAACCCTCTCCTGGAAGCAAAACCAGAGGCTCTTTGATTCTCTAAGCTCAGACCTGAGGCTGGTGGGCTCCTTGGCTTTTGCTGGTCCGCACTTTGGCCAGCGGCTGAGCAGCTCCAAGGCTCACCAGGCCCCACAGAGGGCGCTGCCCTGCCCTGGGCCCTCTGCTCATCCTGCAAGGGCAGCCAGCCAGCCAGCCAGGAGAGGGAAAGGGCCAAGGAGCATCACCACCAGCATCAGTTCTGATCTTAGAGAATCCAAGAGCCTCCGGTCAGATTTCAGCCTCCAGGCGGCTTCTTTTGAAGGCCAAACCGATGAAGAGCGGTTCCTGTTTCTCCCAGGTTCACGCAGCACTGTGTGGAACTCCACCTGGGCTTCGCTTGGGCAGAGGTCAGGGTATTTGCTGGCAAGGCACCTTGGGGCTCCAGGTCTTGCTGTGGCTGTAGGCCATGCGGGTGAGGACCATCTTGCCCTTGCTCTTCTCCTGGGCCTTCTCCCCAGCCGACTCCCCCTGCAAGCTCTCCTTCCCTTCCCGTTTCTTCCGCCCAGCTGTGTTCTCCCTCTGCTCCTGTTTCTGACGGAGCTCCTCCAGTTGCTGCCTGGGGTGCAAAGAGCCACAAGGTCAGCAGTCCCACCGGCTGCTCTTACACTCGCACACGTTTCATTAGAATCCGAAAGCCCCGTTTCTCCCTCTCCCCCCCCACCCACCCCCCATCCAGCTACCTGGCACACTCTTCCCTGGCCTTGGAGGCCACCGTCTCTTGGAAGAGGGATCCACTGTGCTTGAAAAAAGGGCTGTACTTTTCAGTGCCCTGAGAGGGGAAGATGCGCCGGTAGTGGCCCAGGTGGCTGTTCTCGTACTTCTCTGCTTGGGCCAGCCAGGCGGCATGGCTGCTCTCCATCTGTTCACGCCTGGAAGACAGCAAAGAGCCGGCCCTAAGC